GGGGGGGGGGGTGACTCTGCAGGATGCCAGGATGGGGGGGTGACTATGAAGGACATGGGGGGGGGGGGGGGGGGTGACTGCAGGACACTGGGGGGGGGTGAGTATGGGACGGGGGGGGGTGACTCTGCAGGATGCCAGGATGGGGGGGGGGGGGGGGGGGTGACTATGAAGGACATGGGGGGAGGGGGGGGGGGTGGGGGTGACTCTGTGCAGGATGCCAGGGGATGGGGGGTGACTATGAAGGACATGGGGGGAGGGGGGGGGGGGGGGTGTGACTGCAGGACACTGGGATGGGGGGGGTGACTCTGCAGGATGCCAGGATGGGGGGGGGGGGTGACTATGAAGGACATGGGGGAGGGGGGGGGGGGGGACTGCCAGGGGACACTGGGATGGGGGGGGGGGGTGACTCTGCAGGATGCCAGGGGGGGGGGGGGGGTGACTATGAAGGACATGGGGGGGGGGGGGGGGGGGGGTAGGATGACTCTGTAGGATGCAGGATGGGGGGGGGGTGACTATGAAGGACAGGACATGGGGGAGGGGGGGGGGGGGGGGACTGCAGGACACTGGGATGGGGGGGGGTGACTCTGCAGGATGCCAGGATGGGGGGGGGGTGACTATGAAGGACATGGGGGGGGGGGGGGGGAACTGGACTGCTGCAGGACACTGGGGGGGGGGGGGGGGGGGTGACTCTGCAGGATGCCAGGATGGGGGGGGGGGGTGACTATGAAGGACATGGGGGGGGGAGGGGGGGTGGTGACTCTGTAGGATGCCAGGATGGGGGGGGTGACTATGAAGGATGGGGGGGGGGAGGGGGGGACTATGGACACTGGGATGGGGGGGGGGGGGGGTGGTGACTCTGCAGGATGCCAGGATGGGGGGGTGACTATGAAGGACATGGGGGAGGGGAAGGGAGGGGGGGGGGACACTGGGATGCAGGGGGTGACTCTGGGATGCCAGGATGGGGGGGAGGGGGGGTGGGGGTGACTATGAAGGACATGGGGGAGGGGAGGGGGGGGACTGGACAGGACACTGGGATGGGGGGGGGGGGTGACTCTGCAGGACATGGATGGGGGGGGGACTATGAAGGACATGGGGGGGGGGGGGGGGGGACTGCAGGACACTGGGATGGGGGGGTGACTCTGCAGGATGCCAGGATGGGGGGGGGGGGGGACTGACTGACTCTATAAGGACATGGGGGGGGGGGGGGGGTGACTCTGCAGATGGGTGGGGGTGACTATGAAGGATATTGGGGGGGGGTGGGGGTGACCACAGGACACTGGGATGGGGGGGGGGGGTTATTTTGAAGGCCGGGAGTGAGAAATCCTCAGAATTGTCCCAGTCTCTCCCCCACATTGCGCTGGGCGGGGGGGGGGATGGGGGATGGGGGGGGGGGGGGGGGACACCCAGCTCCGCCCTCTTCAGACTTTTTCGGATTTCCCTTTCATGTTTCGTCTTGTAGGTCCGGCTCGGCGTTTCGTTCCGCCCCCCACCAATAGTGACCCCGGAGGCTCCAGTGTGGAACGGGGACACCAGACACATGGAGGAGGGATTGCCGGAATTGGGGGGGGCGGGGAACAGACTGTACAACACGGGACGGATTACGGGGTTTTTTTTTTCAAGTTTTACAGAAACATCAAAATATTGATTTCTATTCACGGATTGGACGGTCGCTTTGGGCGGAGCTCCGGCTTTATCGGGTAGAAAACATTGGCTATCCGCGTACTCCGGCAGGTCGGGCGTCTCTCGGGGGGGCAGAAAAATCGATCTCCTCCCTAGTGGCCACAATGTGGAAGTTTTCTGGAATACCTCGGGGAGGAATGTACCACATTGTGGCCACTACTAGATGGAGCCGCAGATCACAGGAATGAATACAGGAAGATTGGTCTGTGTGAATGATTCATACACCCCCCCCTCCCCCCCCCCCCCCAATGTGTTACTTTGTATTATCCAATGACATTCATAGATTACCGGGAGGGAGGGGCAGCTGTGTTCTGACATTCAATATTTGCCACTAATGGCGGTGGGGAAGGGGGGGGGGCGGAGCTGGATGTAGGAGGTACCTCCCAGTAATAGGAGGGGGGGAGCTGGATGTAGGAGGTACCTCCCAGTAATAGCAGGGGGCGGAGCTGGATGTAGGAGGTACCTCCCAGTAATAGCAGGAGGGGGCGGAGCTGGATGTAGGAGGTACCTCCCAGTAATAGCAGGGGGGCGGAGCTGGATGTAGGAGATACCTCCCAGTAATAGGAGGGGGCGGAGCTGGATGTAGGAGGTACCTCCCAGTAATAGCAGGAGGGGGGAGCTGGATGTAGGAGGTACCTCCCAGTAATAGGGAGGGGGCGGAGCTGGATGTAGGAGGTACCTCCCAGTAATAGCAGGAGGGGCGGAGCTGGATGTAGGAGATAGCTCCCAGTAATAGGAGGGGGGGGGGAGCTGGATGTAGGAGATACCTCCCAGTAATAGCAGGAGGGGGCGGAGCTGGATGTAGGAGGTACCTCCCAGTAATAGCAGGAGGGGGCGGAGCTGGATGTAGGAGGTACCTCCCAGTTATAGGAGGGGGCGGAGCTGGATGTAGGAGGGTACCTCCCAGTAATAGCAGGGGGGCGGAGCTGGATGTAGGAGGTACCTCCCAGTAATAGCAGGAGGGCGGAGCTGGATGTAGGAGGTACCTCCCAGTAATAGCAGGGGGCGGAGCTGGATGTAGGAGATAACTCCCAGTAATAGCAGGAGGGCGGAGCTGGATGTAGGAGGTACCTCCCAGTAATAGCAGGAGGGGGCGGAGCTGGATGTAGGAGGTACATCCCAGTAATAGCAGGGGGTGGAGCTGGATGTAGGAGGTAGATACCTCCCAGTAATAGGAGGGGGCGGAGCTGGATGTAGGAGGTACCTCCCAGTAATAGCAGGAAGGGGCGGAGCTGGATGCAGGAGGTACCTCCCAGTAATAGCAGGAGGGGGCGGAGCTGGATGTAGGAGGTACCTCCCAGTAATAGGAGAGGGCGGAGCTGGTGTGTAGGAGGTGCCTCCCAGTAATAGGAGGGGGCGGAGCTGGATGTAGGAGGTACCTCCCAGTAATAGGAGGGGGGAGCTGGATGTAGGAGGGTACCTCCCAGTAATAGCAGGAGGGGGCGGAGCTGGATGTAGGGAAGGTACCTCAGGTACCTCCCAGTAATAGCAGGAGGGGGCGGAGCTGGATGTAGGAGGTACCTCCCAGTAATAGGAAGGGGGCGGAGCTGGATGTAGGAGGTACCTCCCAGTAATAGCAGGAGGGGGGGGAGCTGGATGTAGGAGGTACCTCCCAGTAATAGCAGGAGGGGGCGGAGCTGGATGTAGGAGGTACCTCCCAGTAATAGGAGAGGGCGGAGCTGGATGTAGGAGGTGCCTCCCAGTAATAGCAGGAGGGGCGGAGCTGGATGTAGGAGGTACCTCCCAGTAATAGGGAGGGGCGGAGCTGGATGTAGGAGGTACCTCCCAGTAATAGCAGGAGGGGGCGCGGAGCTGTAGGAGGTACCTCCCAGTAATAGCAGGAGGGGGCGGAGCTGGATGTAGGAGGTACCTCCCAGTAATAGGAAGGGGTGGAGCTGGATGTAGGAGGTACCTCCCAGTAATAGCAGGAGGGGGCGGACTTGGATGTAGGAGGTACCTCCCAGGAACTTAGTTGGAGTATTTCTTACATTCAGAATGCCGAGTTAAAGGATCACTCCTCACCTATACAGTGCTGCCTTGAACAGCCAATCAGGTTCCAGTATGGGCGGTCCAATGATCTGGAATATAGGCGGTCCAGAATGTGGGCGGTCCTATGACCCGGGACGTGGACAGTCCAGTGACCCGGGACCGGGATGGGCGGTACAGAATGTGGGCGGTCCAGTGACCCGGGACATGGGGGTACAGAATGTGGGGTGGTCCAGTGACCCGGGACGTGGGCGGTACAGAATGTGGGTGGACCAGTGACCCGGGACGTGGGCGGTACAGAATGTGGGCGGACCAGTGACCCGGGACGTGGGCGGTACAGAATGTTGGCGGACCAGTGACCCTGGACATGGGCGGTACAGAATGTGGGCGGACCAGTGACCCTGGACATGGGCGGTACAGAATGTGGGCGGACCAGTGACCCGGGACTTGGGCGGTACAGAATGTGGGCGGACCAGTGACCCGGGACTTGGGTGGTACAGAATGTGAACGGTCCTATGACCCGCGACGTGGGCGGTACAGAATGTGGGGGTGGACCAGTGTGGGCGGTACAGAATGTGGGCGGGTCCAGTGACAGAATGTGGGGCGGTACAGAATGTGGGCGGTCCAGTGACCCGGAACGTGGGGCGGTACAGAATGTTGGCAGACCAGTGACCCGGGACATGGGCGGTACAGAATGTGGGTGGTCCTATGACCCGGGACGTGGGCGGTACAGAATGACCAGTGACCTGGGCGGTACAGAATGTGGGCGGACCAGTGACCCGGGACATGGACGGTACAGAATGTGGGTGGTCCTATGACCCAGAATGTGGGCGGACCAGTGACCTGGGAGGTACAGAATGTGGGCGGACCAGTGACCCGCGGGGGCGGTACAGAATGTGGGCGGACCAGTGACCTGGGAGGGGACACAGAATGTGGGCGGACCAGTGACCCGACGTGGAGGGTACAGAATGTAGGTGGAAGTGACCCGGGACGTGGGCGTACAGAATGTGGGTGGAACAGTGACCCGGGACGGGGTGGGTACGAATGTGGGCGGTCCAGTGACCCGAAACGTAGGCGGTACAGAATGTGGGCGGTCCAGTGACCCGCAATGGGGGCGGTACAGAATGTGGGCGGACCAGTGACCCGGGACGTGGGCGGTACAGAATGTGGGCGGACCAGTGACCTGGGAGGTACAGAATGTGGGCGGACCAGTGACCTGCGATGTGGGCGGACCAATGACAGGAAGAAGAGGCGGCACACGGACAGTAGTAGAAATCTGTGGCACTTTATTGACACATGGGGGTGGAATGTACAGTATGAGGGGGAGGGGCCGGTCAGGATCTCTTCTTACTCTTGCCCACCACCTTTCCCGGGGTCACCGCCGGGGTCACCGCCTGGTAGAGGCCGGAGGAGATCTTGTTCACGTAGTAGAGATCCACCAGAGAGAAGATGAAGCTGAAGAGGGGAGGAGAAGGGGTGTGGTTAATGAGAGCAACAGCCAATCCTAATCGACAGCCTTTGCCTATCCTGAAGGAAACCACTCCCCCCTCCCTGTGCTCAGCCAATCAGGACGGAGCTTTACATGCAGTGCAGAGGGAGGAGCTTGGAACAGGTTGGGGCGGATTTCACACATTACAATCGGATTGGACGATCTGTTCAGGCGGGACTCCGCATACATCACATATGTTCATTTATTGGAGATCGGCCAATCAGATTAGGGGGTGTGGTCAACCTAAAGGGAATCTCCGGCAGAACAATTACTTCCAGTTCTGGATGGAGGAGGGGAGAGTTCCAACAGCAGGTTCTATCCCCCCTCCCCCACCGGGAAGATTTCCCGGCACTTCCTGTACTGAAGACACAGCAGGAAGTGTGGGGGGAGGGGATGCCCCCATAGACAGCTGTCACTTCCTGTTCTGGGACCAGTAGGACCAGAGATGGAGACTCTCCCCCTCGGGGACACAGACAACAGAACCTGACGGGGGGCCACCATGGACAGGAAGTCAGTGATGTGCAGGAAATAATCTCCTCCCCCTTCGTGTCCCTGATGTCATAAGAGGGGGCGGGGCTCTGCTGGTACTGACCATGTGGTGACGCACACTCGATGGACCAATCCGGAGGCAAAGAGAGCGATGAACAGACAGACCAGGACTGGAAGAGAAATCAGAGGATCAGCATGACAATCCCATCCCCCGCCCACAGGAAAATACACGCCCCTCCTGGTGACCCACCCCTTGGGGCCCACCCCTCCTGATGACTCACCCCCAGAGAGAGACCCACCCCTCCCTGTGACACACCCCATGGAGACCCACCCCTCCCTGTGACACACCCCATGGAGACCCACCCCTCCCTGTGACACACACCCCCATGGAGACCCACCCCTCCCTGTGACACACCCCAATGGAGACCCACCTCTCCAGGTGACCCACCCCATGGAGCTCCTCCCCTCCTAGTGACTCGCCCCCACCCTTTCTCATGACCACCCCATGGAAACCCACCCCTCCAGATGACATACCCCCATGGAGATCCATCTCTTCAGAGTGACCCTCCCCGCAGACACCATTAGGGGGCGGTACTCACCCTCTGGGAACACCTTTAGGGGGCGGTACTCACCCTCCCCGGGGACACCATTAGGGGGCGGTACTCACCCTCCCCGGGACACCATTAGGGGGCGGTACTCACCCTCCCCGGGGACACCATTAGGGGGCGGTACTCACCCTCCCCGGGGACACCATTAGGGGGCGGTACTCACCCTCCCCGGGGACACCATTAGGGGGCGGTACTCACCCTCCCCGGGGACACCATTAGGGGGCGGTACTCACCCCCCGGGGACACCATTAGGGGGCGGTACTCACCCTCCCCGGGGACACCATTAGGGGGCGGTACTCACCCTCCCCGGGGACACCATTAGGGGGCGGTACTCACCCTCCCCGGGGACACCATTAGGGGGCGGTACTCACCCTCCCCGGGGACACCATTAGGGGGCGGTACTCACCCTCCCCGGGGACACCATTAGGGGGCGGTACTCACCCTCCCCGGGGACACCATTAGGGGGCGGTACTCACCCTCCCCCCCGGGGACACCATTAGGGGGCGGTACTCCCACCCTCCCCGGGAACACCATTAGGGGGCGGTACTCACCCTCCCCGGGAACACCATTAGGGGGCGGTACTCACCCTCTGGGAACACCATTAGGGGGCGGTACTCACCCTCCCTGGGAACACCATTAGGGGGCGGTACTCACCCTCTGGGGACACCATTAGGGGGCGGTACTCACCCTCTGGGACACCATTAGGGGGCGGTACTCACCCTCTGGGAACACCATTAGGGGGCGGTACTCACCCTCTGGGAACACCATTAGGGGGCGGTACTCACCCTCCCGGGGACACCATTAGGGGGCGGTACTCACCCTCCCCGGGAACACCATTAGGGGGCGGTACTCACCCTCTGGGAACACCATTAGGGGGCGGTACTCACCCTCCCTGGGAACACCATTAGGGGGCGGTACTCACCCTCCCTGGGAAAACCATTAGGGGGCGGTACTCACCCTCCCTGGGAACACCATTAGGGGGCGGTACTCACCCTCCCTGGGAACACCATTAGGGGGCGGTACTCACCCTCCCTGGGAACACCATTAGGGGGCGGTACTCACCCTCTGGGAACACCATTAGGGGGCGGTACTCACCCTCTGGGAACACCATTAGGGGGCGGTACTCACCCTCTGGGAACACCATTAGGGGGCGGTACTCACCCTCTGGGAACACCATTAGGGGGCGGTACTCACCCTCTGGGAACACCATTAGGGGGCGGTACTCACCCTCTGGGAACACCATTAGGGGGCGGTACTCACCCTCTGGGAACACCATTAGGGGGCGGTACTCACCCTCTGGGAACACCATTAGGGGGCGGTACTCACCCTCTGGGAACACCATTAGGGGGCGGTACTCACCCTCTGGGAACACCATTAGGGGGCGGTACTCACCCTCCCTGGGAACACCATTAGGGGGCGGTACTCACCCTCTGGGAACACCATTAGGGGGCGGTACTCACCCTCTGGGAACACCATTAGGGGGCGGTACTCACCCTCTGGGAACACCATTAGGGGGCGGTACTCACCCTCTGGGAACACCATTAGGGGGCGGTACTCACCCTCTGGGAACACCATTAGGGGGCGGTACTCACCCTCTGGGAACACCATTAGGGGGCGGTACTCACCCTCTGGGAACACCATTAGGGGGCGGTACTCACCCTCTGGGAACACCTTGGCCTGGAAGCCTTTCCCGAATATGATGTTCTCCAGGTTATTGAAGGCCTGAGATGAGCGTTAAGGAGAACTCCGCCTACAATCAGATCCCAGAGATGGTACTGAACATACCCCCCCCCCCCCCCGGGATGGTGGGGGGGGGGGGGGGGAAACACACACAGCACACAGAGCTCAGGCCGATGTCAGGAGGGAGGGAGGAAGAGGAGGACATGGGGAACATATGGCCCCTCCCCCTCCTATCAGCCCCTCCCCCACACATTGTCTGCCATGGCGGAAGGATACAGTGAGGGAGAAGAAGAAGATTCCGGAGCCCAGTAATCCTCCCAGGATGGTCAACCACTCCGAAGACGCCAACTGACGGCTGAACATCTGCATCCCGGCGAAGAGCAACAACGCCACCAACGAGGAGAGCGCCAGAGAGATCCCTGTACTGACCGCTAGAGGGAGACAGAGAGAGAGATGACATCATCACCACCAACCAATCACAGAGATCCCTGTACTGACCGCTAGAGGGAGACAGAGAGAGAGATGACATCATCACCACCAACCAATCACAGAGAGATCCCTGTACTGACCGCTAGAGGGAGACAGAGAGAGAGATGACATCATCACCACCAACCAATCAGAGAGATCCCTGTACTGACCGCTAGAGGGAGACAGAGAGAGAGATGACATCATCACCACCAACCAATCAGAGAGAGATCCCTGTACTGACCGCTAGAGGGAGACAGAGAGAGAGATGACATCATCACCACCAACCAATCAGAGAGAGATCCCTGTACTGACCGCTAGAGGGAGACAGAGAGAGAGATGATGACATCATCACCACCAACCAATCACAGAGAGATCCCTGTACTGACCGCTAGAGGGAGACAGAGAGAGAGATGACATCATCACCACCAACCAATCACAGAGAGATCCCTGTACTGACCGCTAGAGGGAGACAGAGAGAGAGATGACATCATCACCACCAACCAATCAGAGAGATCCCTGTACTGACCGCTAGAGGAGACAGAGAGAGAGATGACATCATCACCACCAACCAATCAGAGAGAGATCCTGTACTGACCGCTAGAGGGAGACAGAGAGAGAGATGACATCATCACCACCAACCAATCAGAGAGAGATCCCTGTACTGACCGCTAGAGGGAGACAGAGAGAGAGATGACATCATCACCACCAACCAATCACAGAGAGATCCCTGTACTGACCGCTAGAGGGAGACAGAGAGAGAGATGACATCATCACCACCAACCAATCAGAGAGATCCCTGTACTGACCGCTAGAGGAGACAGAGAGAGAGATGACATCATCACCACCAACCAATCAGAGAGAGATCCCTGTACTGACCGCTAGAGGGAGACAGGAGAGAGAGATGACATCATCACCACCAACCAATCAGGAGAGGATCCCTGTACTGACCGCTAGAGGGAGACAGAGAGAGAGGGATGACATCATCACCACCAACCAATCACAGAGATCCCTGTACTGACCGCTAGAGGGAGACAGAGAGATGGGGGAGGGGTCAAGGTAAGTATATGGGGGAGGGGTCAGGTAAGTATATGGGGGGAGGGGTCAGGTAAGTATATGGGGGGAGGGGTCAGGTAAGTAAATGGGGGGAGGGGTCAGGTAAGTATATGGGGGGAGGGGTCAGGTAAGTATATGGGGGGAGGGGTCAGGTAAGTATATGGGGGGAGGGGTCAGGTAAGGTAAGTATATGGGGGAGGGGTCAGGTAAGTATGGGGGGAGGGGTCAGGTAAGTATATGGGGGAGGGGTCAGGTAAGTATATGGGGGAGGGGTCAGGTAAGTATATGGGGGGAGGGGTCAGGTAAGTATATGGGGGAGGGGTCAGGTAAGTATATGGGGGAGGGGTCAGGTAAGTATATGGGGGGAGGGGTCAGGTATAAGTATATGGGGGGAGGGGTCAGGTAAGTATATGGGGGAGGGGTCAGGTAAGTATATGGGGGAGGGGTCAGGTAAGTATATGGGGGGAGGGGTCAGGTAAGTAAATGGGGGAGGGGTCAGGTAAGTATATGGGGGAGGGGTCAGGTAAGTATATGGGGGGGGTCAGGGGGGGGGTCAGGTAAGTATATGGGGGGGGTCAGTCAGGGAGGGGTAAGTATATGGGGGGGGGTCAGGTAAGTATATGGGGGGAGGGGTCAGGTAAGTATATGGGGGGAAGGGGGGAGGGGTCAGGTAAGTAAATGGGGGAGGGGGTCAGGTAAGTATATGGGGGGAGGGGTCAGGTAAGTATATGGGGGAGGGGTCAGGTAAGTATATGGGGGAGGGGTCAGGTAAGTATATGGGGGGAGGGGGTCAGGTAAGTATATGGGGAGGGGTCAGGTAAGTATATGGGGGAGGGGTCAGGTAAGTATATGGGGGAGGGGTCAGGTAAGTATATGGGGGAGGGGGTCAGGTAAGTATATGGGGGGGGGTCAGGGGTCAGGTAAGTATATGGGGGGAGGTCAGGTAAGTATATGGGGGAGGGGTCAGGTAAGTATATGGGAGGGAGGGGTCAGGTAAGTATATGGGGGAGGGGTCAGGTAAGTAATATGGGGGGAGGGGGTCAGGTAAGTATATGGGGGAGGGGTCAGGTAAGTATATGGGGGGAGGGGTCAGGTAAGTATATGGGGAGGGGTCAGGTAAGTATATGGGGGAGGGGTCAGGTAAGTATATGGGGGGAGGGGTCAGGTAAGTATATGGGGGAGGGGTCAGGTAAGTATATGGGGGGAGGTAAGTATAATGGGGTCAGGTAAGTATATGGGGGAGGGGTCAGGTAAGTATATGGGGGAGGGGTCAGGTAAGTATATGGGGGGAAGGGGGGAGGGTCAGGTAAGTAAATGGGGGAGGGGTCAGGTAAGTATATGGGGGGAGGGGGGGAGGGGTCAGGTAAGTATATGGGGGAGGGGTCAGGTAAGTAAATGGGGGAGGGGTCAGGTAAGTATATGGGGGAGGGGTCAGGTAAGTATATGGGGGAGGGGTCAGGTAAGTATATGGGGGGAGGGGTCAGGTAAGTAATATGGGGGGAGGGGTCAGGTAAGTATATGGGGAGGGGTGGGGTCAGGTAAGTATATGGGGGAGGGGTCAGGTAAGTATATGGGGGAGGAGGGTCAGGTAAGTATATGGGGGGGGGTCAGGTAATATTGTATGGGGGGAGGTAAGTATTGGGGGGGGTAAGGGTTGGGGAGGAGGGTAAGTAAGTATATGGGGGAGGGAGTCAGGTAAGTAAATATGGGGGAGGGGTCAGGTAAGTATATGGGGGGAGGGGTCAGGTAAGTAAATGGGGGGAGGGGGTCAGGTAAGTATAATGGGGGAGGGGTCAGGTAAGTATATGGGGGAGGGGTCAAGGTAAGGGGGAGGGGTCAGGTAAGTAAATGGGGAGGGTCAGGGTAAGTCAGGTAAGTATTATGGGGGGAGGGGTCAGGTAAGTAAGTATATTGGGGGGAGGGGGTCAGGGGGAGTAAGTATATGGGGGGAGGGGTCAGGTAGTATATATGGGGGGAGGGGTCAGGTAAGTATATGGGGGAGGGGTCAGGTAAGTATATGGGGGGGTAGGGGTCAGGTAAGTATATGGGGGGGGGTAAGTAAAATTGGGGAGGGTCAGGTAAGTATATGGAGGGAGGGGGGGGGAATGGGGTCAGGTAAGTAAATGGGGGAGGGGTGGGGGAGGGGTCACGTAAGTAAATGGGGGAGGGGTCAGGTAAGTATATGGGGGAGGGGTCAGGTAAGTAAATGGGGGAGGGGTCAGGTAAAGTATATGGGGGAGGGGTCAGGTAAGTATATGGGGGAGGGGTCAGGTAAGTATATGGGGGGAGGGGTCAGGTAAGTATATGGGGGAGGGGTCAGGTAAGTATTTGGGGGGAGGGGGTCAGGTAAGTATTTGGGGAGGGGTCATGTAAGTATTTGGGGGAGGGGTCAGGTAAGTATTTGGGGGGAGGGGTCAGGTAAGTATATGGGGGAGGGGTCAGGTAAGTATATGGGGGGGATGGGGTGGTCAGGTAAGTATATGGGGGAGGGGTCAGGTAAGTATATGGGGGGGAGGGGTCAGGTAAGTCAGGTAAGTATATGGGGGAGGGGTCAGGGTAAGTATTGGGGGGGAGGGGTCCTTGGCCTCCAGTGGAAGTGTCATCCCTAGAACAGAATGGAGGGAATCCCAGGATGGGTTCCCTCTGGGGGGGGGGGGTGTCTCTGGTCCCAGGAAATGACCCGAAATCCCCCCAATGGGGTACAACTGAGAGGAGGAGGAGATACCCCCCCAGACACCCGCCCCCTTCCCCACTGGGGGGGGGTTCTGTAGTCCCTAAAGGAGGATACCCCCCCCCTGCATTGTACAGGATCCCCCCTATTACCTGCCCCCTCCCCCTTTCCCCCTCTATACAAGGAGAGACACGTCATCACTACCAAACCCCGCTATTATACCCCTCCACACCTACCGAGCCCCCAGTACTGTCTCACCCCCATCACTGTGTCCTCCGCCACACCGATCTACACCGACCACATCCCCCGACAAAACGGACACCTCACCACACACACCGGCCTCCCGGCCCGCCCACTATGCTACTACACAGGAACACCCCCACTACTCCACCGGAACCCCGCCCCTACTCCACACCTGCCGCCGCTACACCCAACTCACAGCGACACCTTCCGACCGGAAGTCATAACTACACCCGCCTGATGTCACCGTATATACCGCTCATATGTTACACGTCATCCAATACTGAGCCCCGCATATTATACCCCGAAAACCCCCATAATGCCCCAATACCCCGTCTATATACCCCACAACACCCATCTATTTACCCCCCATCCCCCCTCCCCCCCTCTATTATACCCCATCCCCCCTCCGTCCCTCTATTTTATATCCCCCATCCCCCTCCCCCCCCTCTATTATACCCCCCATCCCCCCCTCTATTATACCCCCCCCTCCCCCTCCCTTCTATTATACCCCCATCCCCCCTCCGTCCCTCTATTATACCCCCATCCCCCCTCCGTCCCTCTATTATACCCCATCCCCCCTCCCCCTCTATTATACCCCTCTTATTACCCCCTCCCCCCTCCGTTCCCTCTATTATACCCCGGCCGATCCCCCCCTCCCCCCCATCCTATTACCCTCCGTCCCTCTATTATACCCCCATCCCCCCCTCCCCCCCTCTATTACACCCCATCCCCCCTCCGTCCCTCTATTATACCCCCATCCCCCCCCTCTCCGTCCCTCTATTATACCCCCCATCCCCCCTCCGTCCCTCTATTATATCCCCCCATCCCCCCTCCGTCCCTTATATATACCCCCCTCCCCCCTCCCCCCTCCGTCCCTCTATTATACCCCCCGTCCCCAACCTCCGTCCCTCTATTATACCCCCATCCCCCTCCGTCCCTCTATTTTACCCCCCCCATCCCCCCCCTCCCCCCGTCCCTCTATTATACCCCCCATCCCCCCTCCCGTCCCTCTATTATACCCCCATCCCCCCTCCGTCCCCTCTATTATACCCCCATCCCCCCTCCGTCCCTCTATTATACCCCCCCCCTCCGTCCCTCTATCCCCCCTCCGTCCCTCTATTATACCCCCGTCCCCCTCCCTCCCTCTATATTATACCCCATATCCCCCCTCCGTCCCTCTATTACACCCCCATCCCCCCCTCCCGTCCCCTCTATTATACCCCCCATCCCCCCTCCCCCCCTCTATTATACCCCATCCCCCCCCTCCGTCCCTCTATTACACCCCCCATCCCCCCATCCGTCCCTCTATTTATACCCCCATCCCCCCTCCCTCCCTCTATTATACCCCCCATCCCCCCCCCTCTCTATTATACCCCCATCGCCCCCCTCCCTCCCTCTATTATACCCCCATCCCCCCTCCGTCCCTCTATTATTATCCCCCCTCTCCGTCCCTCTATACCCCGATCCCCCTCCGTCCCTCTATTACACCCCCATCCCCCCTCCGTCCCTCTATTATACCCCGCACCCCCTCCCTCCCAGTTATACCCCAGATCCCCCTCCGTCCCTCTATTACACCCCCATCCCCCCTCCGTCCCTCTATTACACCCCCATCCCCCCCTCCCTCCCTCTATTATACCCCCGTCCCCCCTCCCTCCCTCTATATTATAACCCCCATCCCCCCTCCCCCCTCTATTACACCCCCCCATCCCCCCTCCGTCCCTCTATTATACCCCCATCCCCCTCCCTCCCTCTATTATTACCCCATCCCCTCCCCCTATATTAGACACCCTCCCACTATTATTACCCCCCCCACTCCGTCCCTCTATTACACCCCCATCCCCCCTCCCGTCCCTCTATTTATACCCCGATCCCCCCTCCGTCCCGATTCCCCCCTCCCCCTCCCCTCTATTATACCCCCAATCCCCCCTCCGTCCCTCTATTATACCCCCATCCCCCTCGATCCAAATGACCCCCCATCCCCCCCTCCGTCCCAGACTATTATACCCCCATAGCCATGCACAACGAGCTGTTCCTGGCCAGGAGAGTCCAGACCCTCTCGGAGGACCAAGGTAGCATGCCACACCGAGCTGTTCAGGAGAGTCGCAGACGTAGTCCTCTGAGGACCAAGGTAGCCATGCACATCGAGCTGTTCCTGGCCAGGAGAGTCGCAGACGTAGTCCTCTCGGAGGACCAAGGTAGCCATGCACAACGAGCTGTTCCTGGCCAGGAGAGTCGCAGACGTAGTCCTCTCGGGAGGACCAAGGTAGCCATGCACAACGAGCTGTTTCCTGGCCAGGAGAGTCCTCTGAGGAGACCATCCAACGAGCTGTCCTCTCTTAGGACCCCCTACCAAGGTCCCCATGCACAACGAGCTGTTCCTGGCCAGGAGAGTCGCAGACGTTAGTCCTCTCGGAGGACCAAGGTAGCCATGCACAACGAGCTGTTCCCTGGCCAGGAGAGTCGCACCCAGACGTAAGTCCTCTCGGAGGACCAGGTAGTAGTCCTCTGGAGGACCAAGGTAGCCATGCACAACGAGCTGTTCCTGGCCAGGAGGAGTCGCAGACGAATAGTCCTCTGAGGACCAAGGTAGCCATGCACAACGAGCTGTTCCTGGCCAGACGTAGTCCTCTCGGAGGACCAGGTCGCCATGACGAGCTCCTCGCAGACGTAGTCCTCTCGGAGGACCAAGGTAGCCATGCACAACGAGCTGTTCCTGGCCAGGAGAGTCGCAGACGTAGTCCTCTCTATTAGGACCAAGGTAGCCATGCACAACGAGCTGTTCCTGGCCAGGAGAGTCGCAGACGTAGTCCTCTCTGAGGACCAAGGTAGCCATGCACACCCGAGCTGTTCCTGGCCAGGAGAGTCGCAGACGTAGTCCTCTGAGGACCAAGGTAGCCATGCACAACGAGCTGTTCCTGGCCAGGAGAGTCGCAGACGTAGTCCTCTCTGGAGGACCAAGGTAGCCATGCACAACGAGCTGTTCCTGGCCAGGAGAGTCGCAGACGTAGTCCTCTCGGAGGACCAAGGTAGCCATGCACAACGAGCTGTTCCTGGCCAGGAGAGTCGCAGACGTAGTCCTCTGAGGGACCAAGGTAGCCATGCACAACGAGCTGTTCCTGGCCAGGAGAGTCGCAGACGTAGTCCTCTCGGAGGACCAAGGTAGCCATGCACAACGAGCTGTTCCTGGCCAGGAGAGTCGCAGACGTAGTCCTCTGGAGGACCAAGGTAGCCATGCACAACGAGCTGTTCCTGGCCAGGAGAGTCGCAGACGTAGTCCTCTCGGAGGACCAAGGTAGCCATGCACAACGAGCTGTTCCTGGCCAGGAGAGTCGCAGACGTAGTCCTCTCGGAGGACCAAGGTAGCCATGCACAACGAGCTGTTCCTGGCCAGGAGAGTCGCAGACGTAGTCCTCTCGGAGGACCAAGGTAGCCATGCACAACGAGCTGTTCCTGGCCAGGAGAGTCGCAGACGTAGTCCTCTCGGAGGACCAAGGTAGCCATGCACAACGAGCTGTTCCTGGCCAGGAGAGTCGCAGACGTAGTCCTCTCGGAGGACCAAGGTAGCCATGCACACGAGCTGTTCCTGGCCAGGAGAGTCGCAGACGTAGTCCTCTCGGAGGACCAAGGTAGCCATGCACAACGAGCTGTTCCTGGCCAGGAGAGTCGCAGACGTAGTCCTCTCGGAGGACCAAGGTAGCCATGCACAACGAGCTGTTCCTGGCCAGGAGAGTCGCAGACGTAGTCGCAGACGTATAGTCCACCTGCACCAGAGTCGAGGTGGATCGCAGCCGTAGTCCTCTGGAGGACCAAGGTTTAGAGCTGAGGGAGGTGCAGAGTCGTCACGCCGTACTGGAGGAATATAAAGAGTTTAGAGCTGAGGATGGATGGAATATCCACTTATGGGATGGATTTATTAGTATCAAAATTCTGTGTATAACTTTTCATTTCATTTAAAACTGATGTGTTTTTGACGTGAAGAAGATGTAAGCAGTTGTTACATTGTTGGTTTATGTGCTGTTTGTTTTATGATGGTTACAGTTTTGTTACCTTGTAATTTGTTTGTTTATACAAATAAATAAATATCCATACATACAGAATGGGGACAGATACCGAGAATGACACCCGGCATCCGGGACAGGAGAAGTGGGACTGTGCAGAGTCCATACATACAGAAGAGGGACAGATACCGAGAATGACACCCGGCATCCAGGACAGGAGAAGTGGGACTGTGCAGAGTCCATACATACAGAATGGGGACAGATACCGAGAATGACACCCGCATCCAGGACAGGAGAAGTGGGACTGTGCAGAGTCCATACATACAGAATGGGGACAGATACCGAGAATGACACCGGCATCCGGGACAGGAGAAGTGGGACTGTGCAGAGTCCATACATACAGAATAGGGACAGATACCGAGAATGACACCCGGCATCCGGGACAGGAGGAGTGGGACTGTGCAGAGTCCATACATACAGAATGGGGACAGATACCGAGAATGACACCCGGCATCCGGGACAGGAGAAGTGGGACTGTGCAGAGTCCATACATACAGAATGGGGACAGATACCGAGAATGACACCCGGCATCCGGGACAGAGAAGTGGGGACTGTGCAGATCCATCCTACATACATACAGAATGGGGACAGATACCGAGAATGACACCCGGCATCCGGGACAGGAGAAGTGGGACTGTGCAGAGTCCATACATACAGAATGGGGACAGATACCGAGAATGACACCCGGCATCCAGGACAGGAGAAGTGGGACTGTGCAGAGTCCATACATACAGAATGGGGACAGATACCGAGAATGACACCCGCATCCAGGACAGGAGAAGTGGGACTGTGCAGAGTCCATACATACAGAATGGGGACAGATACCGAGAATGACACCCGCCATCCGGACAGGAGAAGTGGGACTGTGCAGAGTCCATACATACAGAATGGGGACAGATACCGAGAATGACACCCGGCATCCGGGACAGGAGGAGTGGGACTGTGCAGAGTCCATACATACAGAATGGGGACAGATACCGAGAATGACACCCGCATCCAGGACAGGAGAAGTGGGACTGTGCAGAGTCCATACATACAGAATGGGGACAGATACCGAGAATGACACCCGCATCGGGACAGGAGAAGTGGGACTGTGCAGAGTCCATACATACAGAATGGGGGACAGATACCGAGAATGACACCCGGCATCCGGGACAGGAGAAGTGGGACTGTGCAGAGTCCATACATACAGAATGAGAGACAGAGATACCGAGAATGACACCCGCATCCAGGAGGGAGAAAGTGGGACTGTGCAGAGTCCATACATACAGAATGGGGGACAGATACTGAGAATGACACCCGGCATCCAGGACAGAGAAGTGGGACTGTGCAGAGTCCATACATACAGAATGGGGACAGATACCGAGAATGACACCCGGCATCCGGGACAGGAGAAGTGGGACTGTGCAGAGTCCATGCATACATACAGAATGGGGACAGATACCGAGAATGACACCCGGCATCCAGGACGGGAGAAGTGGGACTGTGCAGAGTCCATACATACAGAATGGGGACAGATACCGAGAATGACACCCGACATCCAGGACAGGAGAAGTGGGGACTGTGCAGAGTCCATACATACAGAATGGGGACAGATACCGAGAATGACACCCGAGAATGATCCAGGACGGGAGAAGTGGGACTGTGCAGAGTCCATACATACAGAATGGGGACAGATACTGAGAATGACACCCGGCATCCAGGACAGGAGAAGTGGGACTGTGCAGAGTCCATACATACAGAATGGGGACAGATACTGAGAATGACACCCGGCATCCAGGACAGGAGAAGTGGGACTGTGCAGAGTCCATACATACAGAATAGGGACAGATACCGAGAATGACACCCGGCATCCAGGGACAGGAGAAGTGGGACTGTGCATGAGTCCATACATACAGAATGGGAAGGGGACAGATACGAGAATGACACCCGGCATCCGGGACAGGAGAAGTGGGACTGTGCAGAGTCCATACATACAGAATGGGAGGAGATACCGAGAATGACACCCGGCATCCAGGACAGGAGAAGTGGGACTGTGCAGGGTCCATCCATACATACAGAATGGGGACAGATACCGAGAATGACACCCGGCATCCAGGACAGGAGAAGTGGGGACTGTGCAGAGTCCATACATACAGAATGAGGGACAGATACCGAGAGAATGACACCCGGCATCCAGGACAGGAGAAGTGGGACTGTGCAGAGTCCATACATACAGAATGGGGACAGATACCGAGATGACACCCGGCATCCGGGACAGGAGAAGTGGGACTGTGCAGAGTCCATACATACAGAATGGGGACAGATACCGAGAATGACACCCGGCATCCGGGACAGGAGAAGTGGGACTGTGCAGAGTCCCATACATACAGAATGGGGACAGATACCGAGAATGACACCCGGCATCCGGGACAGGAGGAGTACATACAGAATGGGGACAGATACGCGAGAATGTGCAGAGTCCATACATACAGAATGGGGACAGATACCGAGAATGACACCCGGCATCCCGGACAGGAGGAGAGGGACTGTGCAGAGTCCATACATACAGAATAGGGACAGATACCGAGAATGACACCCGGCATCCAGGACAGGAGGAGTGGGACTGTGTGCAGAGTCCATACATACAGAATAGGGACAGATATCGAGAATGACACCCGGCATCCGGGACAGGAGAAGTGGGGACTGTGCATGGTCCATCCTCCAGATGCCGGGACTTGTACGGATTGGATGGGAATCTCACAGATCAGTGCGGTCCTCTCATCCTCCTCCTTCGCACTGCTCATGCTCCCTGCATCCCCCTCCCTCCCCCTCGGCGGAGCATCCTTTGCACCGTTCCTCGGTAGGGTCCTGCAGGAGAAGCTCGGCGGGGATCATGGCGCAGGGAGACGACCTGCAGGCGTTCACCTCCATCATGGACGCCTTGGTGCGGATCAGTGTAAGTGACATGTGTGTGTCATGTCTGGAGGGCGGCCAGGAGCAGACATCATGTGCAGGCATGCGGCGTGCTCTGCGGTCGGCGGGGCCGCTGCGGGGGCCGATGTCGGTACATTGGTGGGGGGGGGGGGGGAGGATCAGGCGGGCGATAGAAGGATACGTTGTAACGATTGTATTTGTTACGTTGTATGTTATTTCTGGAAATGTACGGCGGTGGGGGGAGGGGAGCGTTCGTAGAGCGGCGGCGTTCCCCCCTCCTCGGCCGTCGCTGGAGCTGCAGCACATCTAGTGGTTACCACGGCAACTGCATCCTCCATCTTCCCGGGGATGAGGAGAAGCTGCAGAGTCCCTCCCTCTCTCTATGACAACCTGGGAGGACATGGCAGCTCGGAGAGGGAACAAGGTGAAGCAGACAGGGAGGGGCCCCGGGAGGGCGTGACGCAGGGACCTGGGAGAACGTGTGATAGACCCCAGAGTGACAATGGTGGGGAGATGGAACCTCGGGACCTCTGTGGTCACACCGCCGTATTCATAATCCTCTGATAACCGACGGCATAACTCCCCGGGGGGGTTCTGGGAGGAGAAATGGCACGGGAGGTCCATGATTTCCCCGCTAAGGCCATGTCCACCTGGGGGGGGGGGGGGGGAGTGCGCCCAACGGCCATGTTGTTTTTGGTCAGCTTAGTCCTTCCTGCACTCTCAAGCTGGTGGTGAAGCTTAGTGTAGTCCTCTTGGTGGTGGTAAGTCTTAGTGTGCCCTTCATGGCAGTGGTGGGACTTAGTGTGGCCTTCATGGTAGTGGTGGGACTTAGTGTGGCCTTCATGGTGGTAGTGGTGGGACTTGGTAGTGTTAGTGTCCTTCATGGTAGTGGGTGGGACTTAGTGTGGTCCTCATGGTAGTGGTGGGACTTAGTGTGCCCTTCATGGTAGTGGTGAAGTTTAGTGTGGTCCTCATGGCAGTGGTAAGTGTTAGAGTGGCCTTCATGGTAGTGGTGGGACTTAGTGTGCCTTCATGGTAGTGGTGAAGTTTAGTGTGGTCCTCATGGCAGTGGTAAGTGTTAGTGTGACCTTCATGGTAGTGGTGAAGCTTAGTGTGGTCCTCATGGCAGTGGTAAGTCTTAGTGTGGCCTTCATGGTAGTGGTGGGACTTAGTGTGGCCTTCATGGTAGTGGTGGGACTTAGTGTGGCCTTCATGGTAGTGGTGGGACTTAGTGTGGCCTTCATGGCAGTGGTGGGACTTAGTGTGGCCTTCATGGTAGTGGTGGGACTTAGTGTGGCCTTCATGATAGTGGTGAAGTTTAGTGTGGCCTTCATGGCAGTGGTAAGTGTTAGTGTGGCCTTCATGGTAGTGGTGGGCCTTAGTGTGGCCCTCATGGTGTGGTGTGACTTAGTGCAGCTCTCCTGATGGGTGGTGGGATTTAACATAGTGCACATGGCAGTGGTGAAGTTTTAGTGTGGCCCTAATGGTAATGGTAAAGCTTAGTGTGGCGCTCATGGTGGTGGGGATAAGTGTGTCCCTATAAGTGGCGGTGGGGCTTAGTATGGCCCTCTAGGTGGTGGAGGGCCTTAGTATGTCTCTCTAGGTGGTGGTGGGGCTTAGTGTGGCCCTCTAGGTGGATGGTGTGGCTTAGTGTGGCCCTCTAGGTGGTGGTGGGGCTTAGTGTTCATAATCCTCTGATAACCAACGGCATAACTCCCCGGGGGGGTTCTGGGAGGATAATGGCACGGGAGGTCCATGATTTCCCCACTAAGGCCATGTCCACCTGGGGGGGGGGGGAGAGTGCGCCCAACGGCCATGTTGTTTTTGGTCAGCTTAGTCCTTCCTGCACTCTCAAGCTGGTGGTATGGCCCTCTAGGTGGTGGAGGGCCTTAGTATGTCTCTCTAGGTGGTGGTGGGGCTTAGTGTGGCCCTCTAGGTGGATGGTGTGGCTTAGTGTGGCCCTCTAGGTGGATGGTGGGGCTTAGTGTGTGTCCCTCTAGGTGGTGGGGATAAATGAGACCCTCTAGGTTGTGGTGGGGCTTAGTATGACCTGCTAGGTGGTGGGGCTTAGTGTGGCTCTCTAGGTGGTGGTGGGGATAAATGTGACCCTCTAGGTGGTGGTGGGCCTTACTGTGGTCCTCTAGTTGGTGGTGGGGCTTAGTATGGCCCTCTATGTGGTGGTGGGGCTTAGTATGGCCCTCTAGGTGGTGGTGGGGCTTAGTGTGGTCCTCTAGGTGGTGGTGGGGCTTAGTGTGGCCCTCTAGGTGGTGGTGGGGCTTAGTTTGGTCCTCTAGGTGGTGGTGGGGCTTAGTTTGGTCCTCCAGGTGGTGGTGGGCCTTACTGCGGTGTTCTAGGTGGTGGTGGGGGCTTAGTTTGGTCCTCTAGGTGGTGGTGGGGCTTAGTGTGGCCCTCTAGGTGGTGGTGGGGCTTAGTGTGGTCCTCCAAGTGGTGGTGAGGATAAATGTGACCCTCTAGGTGGTTGTGGGGCTTAGTATGGCCCTCTAGGTGGTGGTGGGGATTAGTTTGGTCCTCTAGGTGGTGGTGGGGCTTAGTTTGGTCCTCTTAGTGGTGGTGGGGTTTAGTGTGGCCCTCTAGGTGGTGGTGGGGCTTAGTGAGGTCCTCTAGGTGGTGGTGAGGATAAATGTAACCCTCTAGGTGGTGGTGGGGCTTACTGTGGTCCTCTAGTTGGTGGTGGGGCTTAGTGTGGCCCTCTAGGTGGTGGTGGGGCTTAGTTTTGTCCTCTAGGTGGTGGTGGGCCTTACTGTGGTCCTCTAGTTGGTGGTGGGGCTTAGTGTGGCCCTCTAGGTGGTGGTGGGGCTTAGTTTGGTCCTCTAGGTGGTGGTGGGGCTTAGTTTGGTCCTCTAGGTGGTGGTGGGGCTTAGTGTGGCCCTCTAGGTGGTGGTGGGGCTTAGTGTGGCCCTCTAGGTGGTAGTGGGGCTTACTGTGGTCCTCTAGGTGGTGGTGAGCCTTACTGTGGTTCTCTAGGTGGTGATGAGCATTACTGTGGTTCTCTAGGTGGTGATGAGCATTACTGTGGCCCTCTAGGTGGTGGTGGGGCTTAGTTTGGTCTTCTACGTGGTGGTGGGGCTTAGCGTGGCCCTCTAGGTGGTGGTGGGGCTTAGTGTGGCCCTCTAGGTGGTGGTGGGGCTTAGCGTGGCCCTTTAGGTGGTAGTGGGGCTTACTGTGGTCCTCTAGGTGGTGGTGAGCCTTACTGTGGTCCTCTAGGTGGTGGTGGGCCTTACTGTGGTCCTCTAGGTGGTGGTGGGCCTTACTGTGGTCCTCTAGGTGGTGGTGGGGCTTACTGTGGCCCTCTAGGTGGTGGTGGGGCTTAGTGTGGCCCTCTAGCTGGTGGTGGGGCTTACCGTGGTCCTCTAGGTGGTGGTGGGCCTTACTGTGGTCCTCTAGGTGGTGGTGGGGCCTTACTGTGGTCCTCTAGGTGGTGGTGGGGGCTTACTGTGGTCCTCTAGATCGTGGTGGGGCTTAGTGTGGCCCTCTAGCTGGTGGTGGGGCTTAGTGTGGCCCTCTAGGTGGTGGTGGGGCTTAGTTTTGTCCTCTAGGTGGTGGTGGGCCTTACTGTGGTCCTCTAGTTGGTGGTGGGGCTTACTGTGGTCCTCTAGGTGGTGGTGGGGCTTACTGTGGTCCTCTAGGTCGTGGTGGGGCTTAGTGTGGCCCTCTAGGTGTGGTGGTGGGCCTTACTGTGGCCCTCTAGGTGGTGGTGGGGCTTACTGTGGCCCTCTAGGTGGTGGTGGGCCTTACTGTGGTCCTCTAGGTGGTGGTGGGCCTTACTGTGGTCCTCTAGGTGGTGGTGGGCCTTACTGTGGTCCTCTAGGTTGTGGTGGGGCTTACTGTGGCCCTCTAGGTGGTGGTGGGGCTTAGTGTGGCCCTCTAGCTGGTGGTGGGGCTTACTGTGGTCCTCTAGGTGGTGGTGGGCCTTACT